TATATTTGGGGGGGGGTGGTATGGATAGCTAGCAGTGCAGAAATGTTTTATGTACAAATAAATTAGATGTTAACAAGTGAAGACTTGTCCATCCAGCCTTACAAGATATCATTGCAGCACCAAGAAAAACTAAATTAAACTTTTCTGCACTCCTAAAGACTAAAAGTTTACAACAAAGTGAATTTAACATCTATAAAATGGATTTTGCAGGAAATGTCCCCTTTAAAGCATGAAATAAATAATTACAGCTGACTGACTGAACAATAATAGTTGGAAATTATCAGCAAGAGTTAACAGGTGAAAAATAATATCTGATGTGTATATTTTGTGGGTTTTAAACATGTCCTGGGACCATTATTTGGACATGCTGTAGTTACTGTATGTCTGCAGCCTGGGTGTCAGGGTCTAACAGTTTGTTAATAAATCTGCTGCAGACACATGAGGATGCTCACATACTGTAGGTGAAAATTGAGCTCAGGTGCAAAATTTAAAGAGTTTGTTAATTTAATACTTCACAGTAGAAGCAGAATTAGCACCAGCTGTAGCATAACTGTGTGTGTTCACATTAAAATCTTCACTATGAACACGAACTCCAAGCTGGCATCTGAGTTCTGTTTTATCAGCAAAACAAGAGGAAATATTTAATTTGTTGCATTTCTCATGTAGCAAATGTATTAACACCACATTATAACAATTCCTGCTATGAAATCCTCATCCTGCCTTTTAGCAGTCAGTGTTTTTAAGTCCTGGTCCTCAGATCCCACTGTTCCTGCTCCTACACACCTGATTCACACCAATGACCAGCTCCTCATCCAGTTGTGTGGAGGTTTGTTAATGACTCATCATTTTTAACCAAAAAAAAACCCATCTAAAACACGTAATGTCTCAAGAACCATGATCTGAAAACACTGATCCTCTCCTCCCAGCACGAGCCTAGTTTTATTTCTTCACCATTTGGAGGAAGTTTAAAAAAAATTAAAACACAGAACCGATGTTTAAAATGAGTTAATAAATCAGATTTTTTTAGTTTGGACTTAATTATTCTGTAATGAGTTTATAGCAGAAATGACCAGTATTTCTGATCTTTAAGTGAAGCAAACTTTTGCACAAATAACATATCAAAGTTGAAATTGATTGTTTAAATGCATGAATTGCTCAAAAGGCATTAAAGGCTAAACAGATTTCAGATTAGGCAGTTGTTTTAAGATCAACGTCAATGACTTTTTTCCAGAGGATGTTAAAATTTATGCGTCAACACATTTCTAACAATCTTATAATAATAAATAATATGTTACAGTTAAAGTTACATACTCTGGTGGTTTATCAGAAACAACATTTCAGGGTCACAGTGAGCCAAATAAATAAAAACCACATGAGGTCTGATAAAGGGTGGATTGTAACATTACAGGCATGTGAACACCATATTTATGTTTAGGTGACCACTTTGAGGTCTTATAAATAATATTAAATGATAAATTACTGCTGTTGCTTCTCATGGAAAGACAGATTCAGCAGTTTGCGGG